GTCTCGAACTCTTGTTTCTTCACACACTGGATCTGTACTGTAACGCCCTGCAGGCCGTCTGCCGCCTCTTCGGCTCGGTCTCTCTTCCACAATTGCGGGACTTGAAAATTTGCGGAATGTCGGAGAATGAAAACATGCCCCACGTCCGCTTTCTCGCCACTGCTCCACTCATCGAAAAGCTCGAGATCACTGATGGAGGGCTCTCAAAACTGTTTCTCGCTAGTTTCCTTCGCGAGCTACCGCCTACCCTTCGCGAACTCAACCTCGGCATAGAGAGTTTCGATGACGAGATTTTAGAGTCCTTAAGCCCATCTGTCGACTTCCCTACTCCCTGTTGCCCGGGCCTCCAGGCGTTGGAGATCCAATACTCCGCCATCTCCGACGAAGCACTCCTACGCTTCCTTAGATCGAGGACTCTGAAGCGCGTTGTAATCCTCTTTGACCGGGCCATGGAGCTTGATATCCGCCCGGAACTGCAGCCATTGGTGGAGAATGGCCTTCATCTCGCACTCACATATAACACATATAATCCACCCGTGCAATCTTCTTCTCCTTGAGAAGGTCTACCAAACGCGCCGAACCCCCGCAGTGCATACACCTGATCCCATATCCACATAAAGGTACATTGAACGAATCTTGTGCCCAGAAATTTGCGACTGACTGTCGTTGCAGGGCTTCTCACTGGAATTATTATTATTATTTCTTCATTTCCTACGAAACACGTTGTCTGGTTGTAGTTTTATGCACACAATGCTGACATTATAGCACGGTGTGAGGTCACAGATTATCATGCCATCTCCGTGAAGACGCAGCATGCGGAGAGGCGCATTAACTTCTGGCCTAGAGGAACTATGCCTCGCAAGGCGGGCTTCTCAGGTTCTCATTATAACGCTGAAAAGGGGGAATGCAGAACCCTACGCACCTGACGTAAGTCGAGAGATGACTCGGCGCCCACATGCGCCCACATCTATTACCTGTAAACTCGCAAATCTTTGTAGTATTCAGTCCTCCCCCGCCGCTTTGGCTCCGCGCACAACAGGTTGTATTCTGAGAGTGGGCTGCACAGAAATCCCACAAGCCGAGCGCTGTATCGCCGAACAACGAGCCGAGCAAGCGCGCGCACTGTCATGCACTACACTTGACGGGTGGAATCGCAGCGTGCGTCTTCCCCACTTCCTCCCATGCTCTCCCCCGCTTCCTATGCCCATACACCTCGTCCGCAACCGCGCCGAGCCTCGAAAACGTGCCTCGCACCGAGAACGACGAGCTATGAAAAACGCAAAGGAACTTCTGGGAGCGAGGCCAGCGCGCGAGCACGATGACCTCATCCTGGGACATGCGCCGCCGCAAGCGGTCTCCGGACGCGCTGTCGCGCTGAAGTCGCGCTGAAGACCACACTCGCTCGCGCTGCGCCGAAACGCCGCGGATACACCCTCCAGCGCCGACACCCGCATCTCTATCCCCCACATCTCTACGAGCCCACACACTCCGACCTGCGGATACTTGAAACCCCGCAGCTCCACGCGCTAACACGGATCTTCCGAGACCCGCCCGCTGCCCACCTCCGCACGGCACCACACCCATAACCCGCCGCCGACACACCGCCACCCAGGCGCCTCGCTCGCGGGGTCGCCTCCGCGCATATGCCGCCGACACGACAACACAAGGTGACGCATCGTGCGCGTACTCTCCAGCCCTGCTCCTCCCCGCAAGCGCGCTCTCCCGCTTCAGGTCCGCTCCGTCCCCGCCCCTCACCCCTCGCTCACGAGCACGGGCTCGTCCCCTCGCACGCACGCGCGCGCCCCACTCTGGATCTGCGCCTCAGAATCTCAAAACCCCCTTCCATCCATCCAGAAACGCCCCAAGGCTCACCTCCCCACGAACAAGCGCATCTCGATACTCAGAATCTCCCTCCCTGCGCGAAGTGCGTGGATCTGCACATTTGTGAGTGCATTGAAAAAGGAAACACGAAACGCCTCGCCGTACGCGTCCTCCTCGTCCTCATTCTCACGCACTTTCAGAGTCCTCAGCGTCCTCAAGCTGCGCAATTGCACCCATCAGCAGCCACACCGGGCAGGGGTCAAAACCACCGCGCCGCGCCTTCATCGAGTCCTTGGAGATCTGGAGCGCGGGGTTTTTGGAGAGCTTGAGCCGCCGGTAGGTCACGAAAGATCTTGAGCGCAGGCCGAGGACGGAGGCGTCCTTACGCGTCCCGGGCACCGGCAGCGCGCCGTCCCTGAGCGCCCAGGCACATGCGCCTTCTCGGGCCCAAGCGGCCTTCGTATCGTACATGCGCGGCCTCCCTCCGCCTGCGTGGCGCGGGCGAGGCGGGAGTCGAGTCTGTACGGGCGGTTGCGGGGTGCGGGCGACGCGTGCGCATCCTCGCGGCGCGCACCCAGCCCCAGATGCGCCGCAGGCCCCCGGCGCTCGCTCGTATGCGCCTCCTCCTCCCGCGTGCATCCCCCGCTTTTGCGCCGTCCTGCGTGTGCGCTCCTCCGCCCCTCCTGCATGTCGCGGGGTAGGCCATTCCACCGCCCGCGTGGGCGGAGATTCAGACGCAGGGGCGCTGAAGCTGGAGGGAGAGGGGCGACGCATACGCGCGCATCTTTTTCGGGCAACGCGGGAAGCACGGTGGCGCGGCGGTGGCGCTGAAGCTGATGGGCATTCGCCTCCTTCGCCTGAGTCAACAGACATCCGCGCGGGCGCTGGCGGAGAGCTCAGTGGGAGGGCGTCCGCGCGCAAAGGCCACGGGGATGTGGGATACGTGGGATACGGGACCGCGGGATACGGGGCGCCTGGTGGTGTGTACGGCCGGGCGGATCGGATAGCATGAGAGGTGCGAGGTCGAGATGCACCCGCGCAGACTTTTGTGGGCTTCAGCGACGCGGCGCTGCGTTATCGACGCGGACGCGGGGTCGTGCGGGGGGGGGGGATTGAGGGGGAACTGGAAGCCCGGATAAGGATGACACGAAGGGGGCGCACCCTGTGGAAGAGATTAGATATCAGTACTGTAATCGACAATCGTACGCGGACACGAAGGTGAAGGGAAGGGCAAGCAAGGCGGGGCAAGGGAGGGGACGAAGGAAGGCGGAAGGAGCATAGAGGGGAGACGTAGACGAGGGAAGGGCGGCGCCGGCGGCGATGGATGGAAGGGAAGGGAATGACGCTTCCGTGACGCAGGAAGGAAGGGAAGCAAGAAAGACGCACCGAGAGTGAGACTTCAAATACCAGCACACCCCTCCCAGAACCAAGCCCAAGGCCCATGGCCACAAAGTACACGCGCGTGAGAGCGGCGCCATGATGTCCATGCCCGTGTCCATGCCCTCATGATGCGTCTTCCCGTCCGCGAGCTATGTGATCTGGCCAAGGTGCTGAACGAAAAGCACTTTCTTCTTGTCCTTGCCGTTAGATATGGCCACTGAAGCTGAAGCTGAACGCGAGGAAGGCGCTCGCCAGGCTCGCGGGCTTCTGGCGCAGGCTCATGGTGTCCATGGGGAGGGGGTTGCGGACGACGTTGAGGACTCGGGGCCCGTTGCCACTTAAAAGACAACGCGCATAACGGCTCGCGCTCAAATCATCAGCATGGGCTCAGTTCAGTGACTGGGCGGGCGAAGGAGGGTTTGCGGGGAACGCCAGTTTCATACGGCACAGTACAACGGGTGAGGTCTTGGGTGAGGTGGTGGTTTATCGAAAGCGCGTTCACGTGCCGGTTTACGGTAACGCCTCTTGTCTCTGACCGTCATCTCGGACCTCCTGCGAATGGCTCCCGCCGCGTTTTGTCGACCAGTCGACTCGAACCCATGCTTCAGCCTGGGCAGCATCTCCCTGGATGACCGGTATCCTGCCCTGCCTGGCTCCATGCCCAGCTCTGAACTTCACCCGTCTTTAACGCGTACTGTATCCTCGGACTTTCGTATCCTCGGACTCGTGTCCTCGTGCCTCGTTCTCCTCTTGCTCGAACTGCAAGTCTGGCGGTCCGTTCGAAACCTAGCTGTCCGAACACCTCTGCAGATTTCGACCTTGAAGTTCGAAAATGGGTTTTTTTTAATAAGAATGGGTGATTTGAAGCGCAGCGTTCCTCCCAGCACTTTGATTCCCTCATCGAGTCGGACGCGTCCGTGCGTGTAGCTCTTAAATTGCGACCGCCCGCGTCCCTGCCGTGTTTTTTCTTCTAGTAGCATTGTGTTTCATTCCTAGAATCGCTAACGTACTGGATCCTGAAGATTATACAGAGCAATCCAAGGGCGAGCGCTGATCTTGCGCACCGCACACTTGATATCCTGGTTCGTGAGCCATCCGGTGGCGGCAGACGCTTTCGCCAAAATGTCAGCTGCATGTTCCTTCTCTGAGTCCGGCGCGGGTATATGTATGTCGAGATACCAGCCGGTCCTACAGTACTTGCGTGTCTTCGCGTCCGTCCTATCTTACTCGTGCTCCGCTCAGCCTGGCATCCGCTCCTTATATTGTTCGCGAAATACTTTGGCTTTATCAGCGCCTCTCCGATGACGCTAGCATTGTCCGGCCCTGCATTCTGGAGCCAGACTGTATTCAATCTGTCCTTGTAACCAACATCAGCATCGTTTCGAGTTCAATGGCCCTGCTGGAAGATATCACTTCCCTTCACTTCAACTCTGCCTCAACCAAGTCTCAACTCTGTAAGTATGTGCAGTGCCGCCAAATTCTTCAGCCATGCACAACCTGCCTCTGTGATTTCTTGTAAGTACTAAGGTGTAACAAGCCGAGTCGGTTCCGGCTTCCGAGAAATTTTTTCATCAAACTAACTGGTTACATGTAATATTCACTGCGGAATATATATGTTTCCCTCCCCAACATTGTTGTTGGCCTGGTGGTGTAGCGGTAACACACCTGTTTGCAGTTCACCTTCTTGTATTGATTTCAGCAGGAATCCCTTGTTCGAGTCAAGGCTAGGCTCTTTTTTCTTGGGGTTATTCGCAAGCTCGTGTACGTAGTAAGTTAAGTCTGAGGGGGTCCATGGTAACGGCCTGGTGGTGCAATGGTAGCACTTTTGTTTCCTATGGTCAAGAAAAATCCATTCGGCGGGAGATCCTTGTTCGAATCAAGGTCAGGCTGTTCCTCTCTTTCGTAGGTCTTTTTTTTTTCTTTTTTGCGCAAGAAATCATGTACGTAGTCAGTGTTAGGGACGTCAATCAGCTGACCTGGTGTAATGGTAGCATACCTGCTTTACTTTACTTTACGGTACCAATGACTACATATCTTAGCGGGAGACCTTGTTCGATTCAAGTCTGGGTCATGTTTTTGAAGGTATCGGTTTTTTTCTTTGCGTTCGGAGAAGTCATAGATATATTCTGAGCTCGAAGGAGGAAGGCGGGGGCCTGGTGGTGTAACATTGACACCCTGCTTTCTATTCCCAGCTCAAAAGCCTTTTTGGCGGGAGATCCTTGTTCGACTCAAGGTCAGGCCATTCGGGGAATGTCTTTTTTTCCTCCGCTGGACATTTAATTTAACCTTTCACTCCCTTGCTCACCTTCATTTTTTTGGCAGGACACCATCCATCTAAATTCCACTTGCCGAAAGCCCAGCGATCCGCTGCGAATTCAACTTGAACTTCAACGAGGAAAGGCATGTGCTCCGGAGGCACCCGGATGTGGCAATCGCAATCCGACGGCAACACCCGATTCGCTTCCACCGCTTTTAAATTCTGCTCTGTCAGTGTTTAACATTTGCGGCAGGGCGAAGGTATGGCAAGCTAAAACTAGACTCTAATAGAGCTCAAGGTAGCTTTATCTGCCGCAGTGTGCCTAGAAGGACTTTGATATTATTGCTCTCGAACATTTTCAACAAATGGATCTGAAGTACTATTTAAATCCTCCTGCGGCCTGTCGTAGAAGCACCTCATTCAGAAAGCCTATAGCGTCAACCCGGAAGGCTTCCCCGGGGATATCGACGACATTGGGGTCGCTGAATGTCAGCAAAGAGGGTGACCAGCCGACGACGACTTGTTCCACTTCGGCCAGAAGATGGCGGGCCTGATGGTCGAGGATGCGGCGGGTGGTTGGGATCCAGCGTGTTAACAAAATCGATGATTGATATTATGACGGTTCTTTTGTACAAAAAATCAAAATCCGCATGCGCGCACGAAAGAGCGTCGAATAATTGATCTAATTCAGATTAAATACAGCCACAACCCAACGGTATCGCCCTCTGTGCAGTCTCCGTGGATTTCAGCCAAATTTCAGTGATCTGTAACCTCGACCTTGATATCCTGTATGGCCGTAATCCTGCTGGTCATCATGCTCCAATTGAGGAATCCACTGTGATGGACAGCGAATCAGTGGTCCACCATTTTTCACCAACAGCAGAATTTCAACTTGATTTCAAGGTTCGAGTCGGCCAAGGAAGATCCACCAGATAAGATAAGATGAGTAGATTAAATTAGATTGGGTGGTCTTCCTAAAGTTCATATCGACCTTCCTAACACAGGAATCAGGGCAGTAATGAAAACTAAGAGAGAGAGAGGCAACTAATAGTATGACGCAGATGATGCCGCGTACCAATGTCGAACGGCAGCCTTTTCACACATGTTTGGCGCACATGTATGTATATTCAACATTGAGGCGCGCGGACGATTTGAGAAGCCTTGTATGATCGTGTTGCTTGTCTTAACTGTTCTACCACCGATTCAGATGGAGCGACGGAGCAGGGTTGCCTTCATTGATTTCATGATTGACACGCCGACGCATCAATCACTTCACGTGGTCGCGTTTGAGCGACTGCTTCGCCTTACCGCCGCACCTTGGCCGCACCCAATCATGTCGTCTCCCTTCACCTCGAAGCTGGGGACCAACTATTGCCCTCGGGGCGAGGAGATAGCGCAGATCAGAACTCTCCTCGTTGAACCCACTCTTCAATTGAAGCGTCTCGATGATGAAATCGCCGTTTTGCAGAAGGCGCTCGATAAGCTGACAGAGGAGCGTACCGGGATCAGTGCCTACGTGGACGCCCACAAGGCTCTGATTTCCCCTGTTCGACGACTGCCACTCGACATAATCCTGGAGGTCTTCACAGCCTGCCTTCCAACGCACCGCAACTGCGTCATGAGCGCTGTGGAGGCACCCGTCCTCCTCGGGCGCATATGCAGCTCCTGGAGATCCATATCCCTCTCGACACCCCGCCTCTGGTCTCGGCTTCACATCGTGGAGCCTCCGTGCCTCTATGATGCTGCTGATTCGCTCGAAAAGAAGCTAGCCCAATGACTCGAGACTACCCAGATGTGGCTCGGTCGATCTGGCAACTGCCCCCTGTCCATATCTCTGCAATGCAACGACATCTTTACATGGGGGTCCCAAGATCAGTTCATTCCAGCGCTGCTCCCTTTCGCATCGCGGTGGGAGCACATCAGTTTCACAGCCCCTTTGTCTGCCTTAGAGATCATGTCACACCTGACCGAGGCGGATGTGCCGATGCTCAAGTCGGTCAGCATCAACGAGTCCCCCCTCAGACACCATGAAGATACCATCCGATGGGATTCACTCGGCTTCCTTCGCGCGCCCGAAATCTCCTCTTTTAGTTTGAAAGGAGGCAGTTTCAATCCTATAGAATTACCGCTTCACTGGGGCAGTTTAATAAACCTTTCGATCACGGAAACACAAGGCTTCCCGGCGAACGAAACGGCCTTGCAGATTCTCTCCCGCTGCCCTCAGCTGCGGACTTGCCGCCTACTCGTTCATTACCCTCCCGATATTGTCAACAGCCGACTCGACGTTGTCGAACTTTCGTTTCTTCATACACTGGATCTACTATCATCAGGCTTTCTGCCGCCTGTTCGGCGGGGTCTCTTTTCCACAATTGCGGAACTTGAAACTTCGCGGAATGTCAGATAACGAAAACATGCCCCACGTCGGCTTTCTCGCCACTGCTCCGCTCATCGAAAAGCTCGAGATCACTGATGGAGGGTTCTCAAAACTGTTTCTCGCTAGTTTCCTTCGCGAGCTACCACCTACCCTTCGCGAACTCAACATCAGCTCAGACGTCACAGGCTACGACAATGGGAGTTTCGATGATGAGATTTTAGAATCCTTAAGCCCATCTGTCGACTTCCCTACTCCCTGTTGCCCGGGCCTCCAGGCGTTGGAGATACAATACTCCTCCGCCATTTCCGACGAAGCACTCCTACGCTTCCTTAGATCGAGGACTCTGAAGCGCGTTGTAATCAGATTTAATCGGGCGATGGAGCTCGATATCTGCCCGGAACTGCAGCCATTGGTGCAGAATGGCCTTCATCTCGCACTCACATATATCACATATAATCTACCCGTGCCATTATCTTCTCCTTGGGAAGGTCTACCAGACGCGCCGAACCCCCGCAGTGCATACACCTGATCCCGCATCCACATAAAGGTACATTGAACGAATCTTGTGCCCAGAAATTTGCGACTGATTGTTGTTGCAGGGCTTCTCACTGGAATTTTCTTTTCTTTGTTTTTCATTTCCTACCAACTTACCCGCTGTCTGGCTGTAGTTTTATGCACACAATGCTGATATTATGACTTGGTGTGAGGCCACAGATTATCATGCCAATGGACCCCATCCCCGTGAAGACACCGCAAGGGCGAGCGCTGATCTTGCGCACCGCACACTTGATATCCTGGTTCATGAGCCATCCGGTGGCGGCAGACGCTTTCGCCAAAATGTCAGCTGCATGTTCCTTCTCTGAGTCCGGCGCGGGTATATGTATGTCGAGATACCAGCCGGTCCTACAGTACTTGCGTGTCTTCACGTCCGTCCTATCTTACTCGTGCTCCGCTCAGCCTGGCATCCGCTCCTTATATTGTTCGCGAAATACTTTGGCTTTATCCGCGCCTCTCCGATGGCGCTAACATTATCCGGCCCTGCATCCTGGAGCCAGACTGTATTCAATCTGTCCTTGTAACCAACATCAGCATCGTTTCGAGTTCAATGGCCCTGCTGGAAGATATCACTTCCCTTCACTTCAACTCTGCCTCAACCAAGTCTCAACTCTGTAAGTATGTGCAGTGCTGCCAATTCTTCAGCCATGCACAACCTGCCTCTGTGATTTCTTGTAAGTACTAAGGTGTAACAAGCCGAGTCGGTTCCGGCTTCCGAGAAATTTTTTCATCAAACTAACTGGTTACATGTAATATTCACTGCGGAATATATATGTTTCCCTCCCCAACATTTTTATCGGCCTGGTGGTGTAGCGGTAACACACCTGTTTGCAGTTCACCTTCTTGCATTGATTTCAGCAGGAATCCCTTGTTTAAGTCAAGGCTAGGCCCTTTTTTCTTGGGGTTGTTCACAGAGCTCATGTACGTAGTAAGTTAAGCTTGAGGGAGTCCATGGTAACGGCCTGGTGGTGTAATGGTAACACCCCTGTTTCTATAGCCAGGAAAATTCATACGACAGGAGATCCTTATTCGAATCAAGGTCAGGCTGTTCCTCCATCTCATCTTTGCACCAGATATCATGTACATAGTCAGTGTTAGGGATGTTGAGGTACTGGTCTGGTGGTGTAATGGTAACATACCTGCTTCTTATGCAGAAGAGTCCTGGTCTTCGGTGGGGGATCTGTTCGATTAGTAAGGCTAGGCTATATTTTCTTTGTCTTGCTTTTTCTTTTGCATTGTTCTCAGAAATCATGTACGTACTCAGTGTTAGGGAGGCTATAGGAATGGTTTGGTGGTGTAATGGTAACACGCCTAGTTTCCATAAAGTCCACGAACCTCTCTCAGTGGGAGTTCCTTGTTCGATTCAAGGTGTTCCTCTGCGGGGCGTGTAACCTTCCATTCCCTCAGCATCCTTATTTTTCTGACATTTTATTCATTCCCAGCTCGTAAATTCCGCTTGCTACTCTCACCGACGTGCAGTGATTTTTTTTTTTGAACTTCAACACGAACGGGCACGTGCTTCAACAACGCTCTCTCTCTCTTGCTTTTTCGCTTCCACCGCTCGCTTTTCTGAGCGGCCCTTCGATCCATCTGTCTACGTCTGTGTACCCCTCCAGCTTTGTGCCCACACTACATCCAGGCAGCGCGCTAAAATCTGCACCGGCGCTGACTTGCAGGGTCAGGTACTAATTGATGCTGCTCTTTTCAAGGCCTTTTCTGGGATCTCCATCCCCAGGTGGAGGACTTACAGCTCACTCTACCGTCTACGCCTCTTTCGTACTCGGGTCGATTCTCTGCCCAGGGACTTCGAAATCTTTCCTCTGCCGAATCCGTTGTTGACTTTAAGTTGCATAGTTGAAAAGGAATTATTCACCCTTCATCGAATTCATGCCAACGGGCCTTCTGAGGACAAATTCTGCTCAAGACCGCTGATATAACCTTTCCCAATTCAGTTTCTGATAGACCGATCCGGCAACTTGCCCTCTGATTCAATTCACGTGGCCGTGTTTGCGACATGCACTGCCCAAGCACTGCCTCACATTTCATCATGTTGTCTCCCTTCACCTCGAAGCTAGGGACCAATTATTGTCCCCAGGACGAGGAGATATCGCAGATCCAAACTCTCCTCGTGGAACCCACTCTTCGATTAAAGTGTCTCGACGATGAAATCGCCGTTTTGCAGAAGGCACTCGATAAACTGGCGGAGGAGCGTGCTGGGATCAGTGCCTATGTCGATGCCCACAAGGCCCTCATTTCCCCCGTTCGACGACTGCCACTCGACATAATCCAGGAGATCTTCACAGCCTGCCTTCCAACGCACCGCAACTGTGTCATGAGCGCTGTGGAGGCACCCGTCCTCCTCGGGCGCATATGCAGTTCCTGGAGATCCATATCCCTCTCGACTCCCCACCTGTGGTCTTGGCTTCACATTGTGGAGCCTTCGTGCCCTTTTAACGCTCCTTATTGGTTCGAAAAGAAGCTAGCCCAACGACTCGAGACTACCAATATGTGGCTCGGTCGGTCTGGCAACTGCCCCCTGTCCATATCACTGCAATCCTCCGGCAACAGCTACTCTTGGGGCTCCCCAAATAAGCTCATTCCGGCCCTGCTCCCTTTCGCATCACGTTGGGAGCGCATCAGCTTCACAGCCCCTTTATCTGGCCTAGGGATCGTGTCACATCTTACCGAGGCCGATGTGCCGATGCTCAAGTCGGTCAGCATCAACGAGTCCCCCCTCAGACACCATGAAGATGCCATCCGATGGGATTCACTCGGCTTCCTTCGCGCGCCCGAAATCTCCTCTTTTAGTTTGAAAGGAGGCAGTTTCAACCCTATAGAATTACCGCTTCACTGTGGTAGTTTAATAAACCTTTCGATCACAGAAACACAAGGCTTCCCGGCGAGCGAAACGGCCTTGCAGATTCTCTCCCGCTGCCCTCAGCTGCGGACTTGCCGCCTACTCGTTCATGACCCTCCCGATATCGTCAGCAGCGGGCTCGAAGAACCCGTTCTCGAACTCTTGTTTCTTCATACACTAGATCTAGGCTGTAACGCCTTTCAGACCGTCTATCGCCTGTTCGGCTGGGTCTCTTTCCCACAATTGCGGAACTTACAACTTCGCGGAATGTCGGATGACGAGAACATGCTCTATGTCCGCTTTCTCGCCGCTGCTCCCCTCATCGAAAAGCTCGAGATCAGTAATATATGGTTCTCAAAACTGTTTCTCGCTAGTTTCCTTCGCGAGCTACCACCTACCCTTCGCCAACTCAACATTAGCGTTGACATCCCAGCCTACGCTAATCTGAGTTTCGATGACGAGATTTTAGAATCCTTCAGCCCATCCATCGACTTGCCCACTCCATGTTGCCCGGGTCTCCAGGCATTGGAGATCCAATACTCCTGCGCCATTTCCGACAAAGCACTCTTACGCTTCCTTAAGTCAAGGACTCTGAAGCGCGTTGTAATCTGCTTTGACCGGGCCATGGAGCTCGATATCCGCCCGGAACTGCAGCCATTGGTGAAGAATGGCCTTCATCTCGCACTCACATATAATCCGCCGCCTGTGCACTCTTTTTCTCCTTGGGAGGGTCTACCGGACGCGCCGAATTTATTTTTCGCTCCCTAAGTACCTACCTCTTATCCCGCATCCACTACATAAAGGTGCAATCAACGGATCTTGTGTTCAGAAACTTGCCACTGACTGTCCTTGCAGGGCTTCTCGCTGGAGTTATTTTTTCTTTGTCTTCATTTCCTACCAAACCCGCTGCCGTCTGGTCGTAGTTTATGCACACGATGTGGTATTATGACATGCTGTGAGGTGATAGAAAATGCGCATGGAAGATGGTAAATGCATGGGAGACGAAGCGAAAATGGAAGGGTGCGTTCGGGATGCAATCATCGCCCCATCCCCATGAACATATATTAGACACCGCAGGCGTAGATGAATAGCTAGCCCAAGGGAACTTCTATCGCAAGGGCACGCTCGCAGGTCCGTCCACCGTCCCCTCTCAATCCGCCGCCTCTCTTGTAACACTGAAAGGGGACCGTACACACCCGACACAAGTCAAAAGATCACTCGGCGCAGTCTCGGCGCATGCGCTACCACTAACTTATTACCCGTAAACTCTCGAGTCCTTGTGTACTGCCATTCAGTCAGGCCTCCCCAGCAGCTTTGGCTCCGCACAAAACAAGTTGTATTCCAAGTTGTACTGACAGTGGGTTGAAGATGAACCCTACTAGAGGCGGCTCAATAAGTACACCCTCCAGCGCCGGCACCCGCATCTCTACCCCCCACATCTCCACGAGCCCAGACATGCAGGCATTTTGACACGCCCGCCTCTCCACGCGCCGACACGGATCTCTACCTCCGCGCTCCTGTGCCGACACCCAGACGTGGAAACACCGCCCATCTCCGCACGCCACCACACCCTGCCGCCGACACGCCGCCACCCGCAACCGGGGCCGCCTTGCTCGCGGGGTCACCTCCGCGCACATGCCGCCGACATAACAACACAAGGTGACGCATCGTGGCCGTCCCCGCCCGCGCGCTCCCCAGCTCCAGCCTCGCTCCGTCACCGCAAGCGGCGCTCGCTGCTGTCTCAAAATCTCAAAACCTCCAGAAACGCGCCTGTGCCACGGCTCGCCTCCCCACTGGCACGCATCTCTCGATCCGCAGAATCTTCGTCCCTGCGAGGTGTGTCGGTCTGCGCATCTTTGAGTGAATCCGAAAAAGGAAACATGAAAGGCCTCACCGCGCGCGCGCGTCATCCGTCTCCTTATATTACTTTATGATCCTCCTCTTCTCGTTCATTGATATTCAGTCCTCCGCGTCTTCGAGCCGCGCAATCGCAATCGCACCCATCAGCAGCCGCGCAGTCACGGAGAGGGGATGCCCCACACCACCGCGCCGCGCCTTCATTGGGTCCTTGGAGATCTCGGGCGGAGGATCTTGGGAGAGCCTGAGCCGCCGGTAGGTCGAGGCGTCCTCGCGCGTCTCGGGCACCGGCAGCGCGCCGTGCTTGAGCGGGCGTCATCTCGAGCCTAACCGGCTTCCGTGTCGTACGCGCGGCGGGCACGGTGGCGCGGGGAGGGAGAGTCGAGTCCCGCACGGGCGGTGGCGGGGTGCGGGCGACGCGGGCGCGCGCATCCTCTCCGCGAGTGCCCCGCAATTCGGAAGCGCCGCAGGCCCCAGCGCTGGCTCGTATGCGCCTCTTCCTTACGCTCCCGCGTGCATTCCTTCGCGTGCGCGGTCCTGCGCGTGCGCTCCGCCTCCGCCCCTCCTGCATGTCGCAGGGCGGGACAGCGCGCGCGTGGGCGTCTAGGACATTCGATCGCGGGGGTAGGGGAGGAGCGACGCATCCCGGATCCTGCCCTCGCGAAGCTGGCGGACATTCGCGTTCCGCCGCCTGTTCGCCTCCTTCGCTTGTATCAACAGACATCCGCGCGGGCGCTGGCGGAGAGCTGAAGCCAGGGCGCGCGCAGCGAGAGGGCGCGGCACGGAGACAGCAACGCGGGGAAGCCCACGGGGGTATGGGTGCGCATGGGGTACGGCCGGGCGGATCGGATAGCGTCAGAGGTGCGAAGCCGAGACACACCCGCGCTGGCTTTTGTGGGCTTCAGCGACGCGGGGCTGCAATATCTCCTCCAGAAGGAAGACGCGGACGCGGGCTCGTGTGCGGGGTGTTGAGACGATCGGAAGCACGGATAAGGACGGCAAGAAGGGGGCACAGCCTGTGGAAGAGATTAGAGATGTAATCGGGTGGATCGTACGCGGACACGCAAGTGAAAGGAAGGGAAAGCAAGGTTGGGGTTATAAGGCAAGGGATGAAGGGGGAAGGAGCATCGCGGGGACAGGAAGGGGCAAGGTAACGCTCGGAGAGAGCAGCGCAGGGAGAAACACGTAGGAAGGAAGGGAATGTAAGAAAAGCTGTACTTTGAGACGTACCGAGATAAATAAAAGTAACAGCGCGCCCTCCCAGGTACCAAGGCTGATAAGCGCCAGAGGAGAGTGGCGCCGGTGCGCTCCCCGCCCGTGGGTCCGTGTCCGTGTTCTTGGCCTGAGTGGCGGGGTGGGGTACGAGCCTTCCCGTCCGCGAGCTATAACATCTGTGCCAGGGTGTTGAACGGAGAGCGCCCTGAGCGCTTCCTTGTCGTTAGATAGGGTCGCCGAATTCGAAGCTGAAGCTGAGCGCGAAGAAGACCTGACACAGACGCGCGGCGTCCGTGTGGGGGTTGCGGACGATGTGCCACTGAAATGATGGCGCGTATTGGGAGCTCGCAAGGCACCAAGTACTCACGAATCATCAGCGCTCAGCAGGAGCGACTGGGTGCGAAAGAGGGTTTGCGGGGAGCGAAACGGTGAGGTCGTGGTGGTTTGTTATCGAAAGGCGTTCACGTGCGGATTTACTCTCTTGTCTCTGACCGTCATCTCAGACCTCTGCTACTTAGTGCCTCCCATCGCGTTTTGTCCATCGGTCAACTCGAACCCATAATGCTGCCTGGTGGATTTTTGGGGGCATCCCGGCCTGCTTCAGCGCGTGTCAACGCGTGCTGTATCTCGGACTCTCGTCCTCCTCTTGCTCGTTTCAATTTTCGACCTTGAGGACAATGCGCAGCGTTCCAAGCACTTTGATTCTCTCATCGAGTTCGACGCCTCCGGTCGGCCTTCCGCACGGGTAATTCGCAAATTGCGACAGCCCGCGCCCCTGCCGTGTTTTTGTGCAGTTTTCATTCCTAGAATCATGGACGCACTGGATCCTCAAGAATACAGGGCTGTCAGGGCAATCCACCTCCTCGAAGGATGAGTTTGCGAACTGCACGCAGCACGCTTGACATCCTGGTTCTCAAGCCACCCGGCAGAGGCGGGCGCTTTCGCCAAGATGTTAACTGCAGCTGTATGGTCAAATTCCTCCGAGTCCGGCGCGAGCATACTTATGTCGCTATCTTGGACCCAGACCCAGACTGCGTCCTTGGTTGGTTGATTCTGCAAGGTGCACCAACAGCTGGCTGCGTCCCTCAGCTCCACCAACATCAACATCGCCCGCGGCGGCGGCCTTTCGAGTTCAACGTTCCTATCGGAAGATTTCACTATGATTCCTGTCAAGTTTGTCTCAACCAAGTCTCAACTCTGTAAGTCCAAATTCTCTAGCCATAGCCCATCGCTGCGGTTCCGTGTACCAAGACCGCGTCGATTCCAAGATGTAATTTCTCCGTCCTTCCCGTCGATCAAACTGACAGGCTCACGTTCAATGAGTATGTATGCTTCATATTCAATGAGGTATATAGATGTTTCCCCCCTTGGAGTTTTTATCGACCTGGTGGTGTAGCGGCAACACGCCTGCGTGCAGTTCCTTCTCGAACCCATTGTAGCAGGAATCCCTTGTTCGACTCAAGGCCAGGCCATCTACTTTTGCGCTAGCCTTTTTCTGGGGTTGTTCGCAGAACTCATGTACGTAGTCAGTCTGACGAAATTTAAGAACGGCCTGGCGGTGTAATGGGAACACGCCTGTCACTTATACAGTGGATGAAACAGATTTTTGTTGGTGATCCTTGTTCGAATCAAAGTCAGGCCACTTCCCGTTTTTTCTTTCTTCTTTGCATCAGAATCATGTATATACTCAGTCTGAGGGAGGCAAGGAAGGCCTGGTGGTGTAACGGTAACATGCCTGCTTCGCTTTGTGGAGCTGTAAACACCTTTCGGCGGGAGATCCTTGTTCGATCCAAGGCTGGGCCATATTTCTTGAAGATGTCAGCTTTTTTTTCTTGTTGTTCTTCGGAGAAGTCTCTGAGCTCGAAGGAGGAAAGGAGTAACGAGCACTCCTGCTTTCTATGGTCAGGGAAATTCATAAGCCTTTTTGGTGGGAGATCCTTGTTCAACTCAAGGTCAGGCCAGTCAAGTAGAGTTGGTAATGCCTTTTTTTTTCCCTCCGGACATGGAGCATTCTATTCCCTCTGTCTGCTTCCTTTTCAACACACTCTCACGGCTCGTAAATTCCACTTGTTGGAAGCTCAACGATGCGCTGTGAATGTCAACTTGAATTGCCAGAGTTCCCGACTTCTCCAAGGTTTAAATTTCTGATACATAGAACTCAAGGGGGTGTTATCTGCCAGAGGCTCCTAACACACGATGTGCTTAGAACACCTTGATATTATTGCTTTCGACCATTTTCAACGCGCACATATCACCTACGAAGTACTATTTAAATCCACCGGCCTGTCGCAGAAGCACCTCATTCAAGAAACCTATAGCGTCAACCCGGAAGTCTTCCGCGGTGATGTTGACAACATTGGGGTCACTGAATGTCAGCAGAGAGGGTGGCCCAGCCGACGACGGCTTCTTCCACTTCGGCCAGAAGATGGCAGGCTTGATGGTCGAGGATGCAGCGGGGTGGTTGGGATCCAGCGTGTTGATAAAATTGACTGTGATGAGATGCTTATTAGTTATTCAATGAAGCGCGAAATATCCCACTCACTTAGGGCATCGGCGCCGGTGGTATCGCTCGTTTTGTTGGGTGGGAACCAGATCGAAATGTCGCTGACATGGTAGGCGCCAATCGGTGTGTCTTTTCCCCGTGCGAACACTAACAAATTATTCAGTATCCACTTTTATTAGCGCCGGATATAAAAAACGCACACCAACTCCACGCATTTTGTGTCGCAGATGCGTGCTCCAAGAAGAACCTTCGCGCACCTGTAAAGACAATGTCGCCCTGGAATGCAGAAAGCCGCTTGTACTGCGGCCTATGGACGGTTGGTCATTTATGCATAATGAGACGTTCTTGGCAGGACATACGTCAGTTGATTGGCGGTTCCAGTGTTGAATGGGGAGCCCTTGGTTCGATATCAGCCCAGTAACAAGTTGGTAGCTCAAATGGCGCACCTGAGTAGGATCGTCGGGGTATAATATTCCAATTTGAGCGATCTCTTCCTGCGAACTAGTTGGAAGAAATCTGCAGCGAGACTAAGCCAAGAATACAAGCGGAAAAAAATATGTTGCAACGAACGTAGAATGCGCGTAATCCAGGAATTCTGCATCCGTTCTGGGCAACGGCACCCATGGTTAAACAGGATATCTCCATTGCAATACGGCACACATACGTAATATTGGCCTCTGGTAATGAAAATATCCTGGAGGAAGATTAGGTTGTCATGCTTGGTCAACCAAATGAACATCCGCACGTTCCCTCGTCGTCGCAGTCTCCTGTCATGATGGGAATCTACGAATGTTATCAAGTGCAACGCTCATTCAAAGCGTAGAAGCCACCTTAGCATACAATCCGCGGGAAATTGACACCAACGGGTCGCCCACGATAACATCTCCGTCAACGCGGGGACGCCAGACGAGGTCAAGACCCCCGTATGAGAATACATCGAGAGTTTTGTTGTTGACCGTGGCCATGAGCGAATCGAAAGGGACGCGCCGAAGACAGTCGAGGGTGTCCGGGGAAGCAGTGCAATTATTAGCAACTACCAGGCTATCATACACTACCTGCCCATCGGCGACGGAAGGCGACGTGACTGGGGAGCCAGATACCTGATGATAATTAAGTGAGCAATGCGCAGGCCGTCCAGAATGACGCTTACCATGACCGCGCCCCGAAACAAAGCATTTGAGTTCTGCTTGTTGGAAAGGATGAGGAGAGACGTAGAAATGGCTCCTGCGCTCGGACCGCCGCTGCGAAGGTCCATCAGGAGGAGCGCATATAATAAATAGAACTGAGCCACATCACGACTCGATCAGGATCTCCTCCGAATGCAGAGATATGCTTTTTAACCCATTCGAGAGCCTAAATCTCTACTGAAACGTTGGAAATTGGCACGGATGACATGAGATATGAAGGCTTACGGTCTCGTAAACCAAGATTGCTTATTCCTGCCGCGTCGACTTCCTTTCCTCCCAAAAAGCCAAACGCTAAGTGTGTTATGTTGCGATGAAATGGTAGAAGAGGCGAATTCACCAGTGAGGCGGTAGTTCAGCGCGACAATGATGACGGGTTCGCTTGTTTCGATGGAGCGCTCGGCTAATGACGAGACGTTCTGATCCCTGGAATTTCCAACCTCGAAGCCACCTAAGGGAATGCGACATGAATCTTTTCGTCAAGGAAACTGCGAGATGATTTACCCCCGTATATCCACTATTACCAGTAAGGTGAGCACCTCGTTCCAGGTGAAGCACTATGAATAGGCTTACCACAAATACAGGAAGCTTCGATCTGGAATCCGAGGCAGCGGGCTTGAAGATATCAAGCGTTAAACCTTTATGAAGTCAGAAGCAGGTCGATTAAAACAGCGGGAAACTGACAATCTTCAGAGATAGAAGGATATACTCCAGGCTCGAAAGGGATCGGCAAAGGGGTCAATGCCTGCTGGGGACAAGCGGGCCCAAAGTCTGTGGCATTCTGCACACCGTGCAGCAGTCTGGGAGGCTTTGGTGTGTCAAAGCGCGGACTGTAAAATCGCGTCAACACCAATGCAAGATCTCGGCAGTAGGCCTACGCATGGGCAAACGGAACACCGAGGAATTTGGTCAGGTTCCCGGTGTCGAGTCCTTGAAATTTCCCATACGGCAGGGAAACTATAGGCGGTTTTGCAGCCGATACATTAGAACTCAGGAAATTTGACAGCGTAACAACGAGGAAGATTGTGAACACCATGGCCTATCCGGATACTCTTCGAAGGGTGCTCTTCCGCCTTTTAAGTTGGGTAACTAAAGCCGGAAGGAACGAGATCACATCAACCCATTGGTTCAGATTATGAAGCGGGAGGAGATTCAGCAGAGTAGTCAGCGTTCTTGTTTATAAACACGAGATCACATTAACCCATTGGTTCAGATTATGAAGCGGGAGGAGATTCAGCAGAGGAGTCAGCGTTCTTGTTTATAAACAGTCAGCATTCTTACTGATTAACACGGAGCGATGAGGTGATATTCCCCGACAAGTCGGAATCTTGATTCGAGCTAACAATTCAGTTAATTGAGTGATTAAAATCTGGGGTGCCTTTGGATTTACGGAGTTAAGGGTACCCCAGTGTTGGATCCTACAGTCAGTCAGTCGTCCAGCACACGAGAACCCGGAACGCAAAGGAACCGAGCTAGAGCCTCGAGCCAGAGCAAATTAAATTCAACGCCTTGGAACCAACTTGCCAAGTCGGAACAACCGTCGGAACTCACAAGAAACCATGAATTGCAGCGCAGCGTGAGTGTAGGTGGCGCAATTGCTTGCCCGTTCCGTCCATGGTCTGGAGTCCAAACAGATACAGGAGAGAGCAAGGGGAGAGAGCGTGGATGCCGTTGTCAAGTTCGCTGATGCACGTCGGGCCGAGTGATCGATCAGTCGGCCATCAATTTGGCCACTCGGCCAAAGGGCCTTCCTTGCCTTTCGCTCTCCAACAAAAGTCACAATGCAGCAAGACGTACATCGGCCATGTAGGAGCTTTAAATTGCGATTGCTGTGTAATCTGGCGTGAATCAAAATTGCAGAGAACCCTCGTCTGGCTGGCTTTCGAAAACGACAATCCGAACGTTTGGGCTCTCTGGGCTTGCTCTGGGCTCTCCGAGTCTTGAATCTTGACCTTCGACCGTTGGAATGGAAAACGTCTGTCTGCAGTAGCGGTTTCGCTGTCTCCTATCCTACCAGCTCTATCCAATAACGAGTTAATTCCCCAGAAGCTAGTTCCCTTCTATATAGCTATGCACTTTTACAGTTTGGTGGCACCCCGCGTCTCGGAATCTCAGCTTCGGGGTGGATCATGATTGATGCGCCTGTCCGTTGTATGCATTCGAGCAAACACACAAAACACCACGACTAGATCTCGCTCCAACGATTCTCTTTCAGGCTGCCGCACTCTATTAACTCCTTTTGGGAGGACTGCGGGTATCACTTCTTTCTTCTTGCTCTCATCATTCTTTCCTCCGACAGAACGATTCAACATGGGAAATGAGAAGAACCATGTCAACGTCGTTCGTCAGTACTCCAATCAATGCCAACGGCCATCCTCCGTCACTCACCAATCCCAGTTATCGGCCACATCGGTTCCGGCAAATCGACTACCGCTGGCCACTTGATCTATAAGTGCAGTGGTATTGACAAGCCCACCATCGAGAAGTTTGAGAAAGAAACTGCTGAGCTTGGCAAGGGTTCCTTCAAGTACGGTCAGCTTGAGTATCGTCCAAAATCAGTTCCATCGCTTGGGACTGATTGTTAATTTCAATAGCCTGGGTCCTCGACAAGCTCAAGGCCGAGCGGGAGCGTACCATCGATATCACCCTTCGAAAGTTCGAAACTCGCAACTTTGTTGTCACTGCAAGTCAAATTTTTGTCAAGGGAGGAACAAGTACGCATTGGCTAACCTCCAGTAGGCCATCGATGCCCCTGGTCATCGAGATTTCATGAAGAACATGATTACTGGTACCTCTCAATCTGACTGTGCCATCCTCATCATTTCTGGTAGCGCCGGTGAGTTCGAGGCTGGCATTTCCAGAATGGGCCAGACTCGGGAGCACGCCTTACTTGCCTTCACCCTCGGCATTCGTCAGCTCATAATTGCGGTCAATAAGATGGACACGAGTCAAGTCGGTTTTTCTTCCAGTACCGAAAATTGTTTCAATTAATTAACCGTCTCAGTGGAGCGAGGACCGTTTCCATGAAATTGTCAAGGAGACTTCCACCTTCATAAAGAAGGTCGGATACAACCCTAAATTTGTTTCCTTCGTCCCTGTTTCGGGCTGGCATGGCG